AGATAAGTGACATGCCATACCTCTGAAGCGGATCCAATCAAGCCTACATGATTTTACTAACCTTTAGTGAAATTTACTTGCTGAGGGTCATAATGGAGAAACTGCTTTGCTGACTTAAGCAGGTTTATTTGATCCACATTTGGTCTACATTTTGAAACAGAATTTACAGAAGATGAGTGTCTAGGTGTTAAGAAAAGATAATGGAACGCAGTTGCTGATGCTTTAGTGCAGAATCAACTTGCATTATACTTCTATTTTAGGGACTTTTACCATTTTATTCTTTGTAGGAAACCCAGGATTTTAAAAAACTATCAATAGGATGGTTATGAAATAAAATGAAAAAACGTCCTATTCTTCCTGTGTTCTGGCTGTGTTGCTGCATGCTGTTTTAATCAAATAAGTGTATTTTAGCATGGCAGTTCACTTGCCTCTCGTTACTTTAATTGCCAGGAGCATGTTTCAACAGTATAATTTGGACATTCAGGACGTATGTGTCCTGAAACACTTCTAACAACTTCTCTCATCTTCTGATTATTGGTATTCAAAAAGTATGCAGCTAACAAAGTTTTCTACTAAAAGCATCATGTGTTGCTTTTAAATATACTAGTCTTTTGGAAGCAGTCAGAAACATTTTCTAGCAGAAGAGATCGTATTTAAGATCTAGTGTACAGCTGAAACTTAAAATAATGAACACTTTTTGTGGCTTATTTTCAGAAAGGTTTAGGTCTGAATGTTAGATTAGGTCTGTGGTAGCTGTCTGTAATTTGAAGGGAAAATTAACCTACCTCCTTTACTTTTTTAATTGAGTTAGACTTTCCAGACAGGTTATGTAAGAGCTGTAATGCTACGTACTTTTTTGAAAAATGTGAGTTGTCGATTTTAAAAATAGAATTAAACATGTTGTATACAAATATGTTGTGTAATCAGAGTAATTCTAATGCTTCAATAGAATGTTTAAGGAACTGGAGATTTTTATAGTGATAACTCATAGATACTAAAACTCTAGGACTGTTTCTATGAACACTTATGTGACACTTTTTTGAAGAAGTCTCAGCATAATAGACTAGGCAGGTAGATCAACTTCACAGTGTATTTTATCTGAAATTTGGAAGAACTTTAATCAGAAACGGCACAAAGGAGTGTTGTCTCAACCTAAGTAGCATGTAACAACGCTGTTACTGACCTTGTTACTTGTTAAATGTAGTTTCTCATGGCATAACTGATCAGTAAAAATAATGCGACTGAAAACTGTTCCATGGATGAGTTTTAGATTACCATATTAATGAGCGGTTTCAAAGACTTAACACTAAGCCTGAACTTAATGAAAACTATATTCTGAAAAACATAGATATTTTCCAAGGCATAGAACCACAGTACTTTTCTGTTCATTCATCTTTAGGTATAAGGTAGTAGTGCTGTCAGGTAAGTCATATTCAGATGGAAAAATAAAATACCTTTAGCTCTATTCTCCAAGTAACTCAAGGGAGAATTTTGAATTTGTTTTTAAGGAGAGGCCAAGGAAAATGAATGAAATGGCAAATAGCCTAAGAGATACATGAAAACCCTTTCAGTTAGATGTACTCACTGTATACTGCTTGTAATCAAAACACATCCACTAACTAAAGCGAAAGAATATTTACAGCAACTTTAGTTTCCAGTGTTTTACGTATATCTCTAATGTGGTCTTAGAACTCTGTGTTAAAGCATAAACAAGCCTAATGAAAATGATAGTGAAAACTTGAATGTTCTGATAAAAAGATACCTCTACATTAGCACGTTGATGGAGGGGACCCTAGTTGAAATGGCAATTTGGAAATTTTACTTTAATTTCCAGTCAAGAGTTTTTGTAGCTCATATGGGTTGATCATCTGTTGTGCTATTGTTTTTATCTGTTAATGGTCATGGTCCTTCTGGCTTTTTGACTTGTAGAACACAACTGAATCTACTGTTGCTGTGGAGACCTTAGATGATGTACCTGAGCATGTGCTTAGGGGGCTTCCTGAGGACGTGAGGCTCTTCCCATCTGCTGTTGACAAGACACGGCTTGGTGAGTGCTACAACTGTGAAAAGCAAATGAAGATTTTTATACTAGTCCACATGAATTACAGTTGCTGTGAAAGTTTGGTGCCCTCCTGTGCTGGGTAGGGATCATGTCTGGTGCATTTATCTGAAATAATTTCTGTTGGAAAGAGTGGACAGCTGCTAAGTTTCTCCAACATCCCAAGATGATGTTCCTAGAACATCAGAATTGGGGTCAAAGCTGGACCAAGATGCAAATAGATCGCTATGAAAGTACCAATATGTTACTTCACCGGTTTGTTTTCACTTATAGCACTTTACCAGTTTTGTGTTTTGCAACTGTCTTACTGTTGCCTCTTTAGAATGCTGCATCTCACTGTCCAATCAATATAAGAAGTTTAATTTATAAGAACAGATTCAGTGCAGACTTGAAAGCTGCTATATGGAGCAAAGTGGTGTTTCTGTAGTATGTCCAAAATGCTTGGCTTCTTTTTTAACAAAGTTTAACGTGGGAGAACTTTGATAGAAGTCAGAATTGCAGACTGGATACTCGATGTTGAAAGCTGGTAGTTTGAGGAATAAGCCTGACAATAGATGCATTGCTGTTAGTAACAGGTTATAAGCTCCTTGGAGCAAGGTTATTCTGTTCTAGTATGAACCTGATCTAGCATGGTCTGACTGAGAATGTTATGTTTAATTAGCAGTTATTTGTCAATCTGTTATTAGTTTTTGTGCTATAAAATATGAAATGCAGCTGTCCATTTTCATTCGGTTAAATCTTGTCAATAAGTTTGTGGGCAGATGCACATATTTTAACCAATCCTAAATGTGTTTTCCTTCAAAATATACTATTAATTAGTTTCACAACTTTCATGAGGGCTTCATTTGCCTGGCATTGCTTCAGAGAAAGCAAATAGGATTTTTGTTTTAATAACATGTTTACTCAGCAAAACAGCTGAAATCTGGGACTTCACAATATAAAACCTGTCGTGCTCTTATGGTATTTTGAATATCACCTGAAGGACAAGAAAAATCGAGGTCGTTTTTTGTCTTCAGAGCTACAGTAGCCCATGAGCAAAGAATGAAACCAGGTAAATGCTTAAACCTTTCAAGATTGAAGTGAGTTTTGGGGAGAAGATTGTTTGAATTCATTTTAGTAGAATTCAGTTTCCTTATTGTGATCTTAATATTGTAGAATGCTCCCCAATCTGAGACAGACACCTGTAATGATCTTAAGAAATATGAATTGTGAGTAGAAGATTTGCTTGAGATAAGTTAGATTAGTTTTAACTACTGATATGTGTCTCTGCAGGTGTCTGGGCAACAAAATCAATTTTAAAAGGCAAGAAGTTTGGACCATTTGTTGGTGACAAGAAAAAAAGATCTCAAGTTAAGAGCAATGTATACATGTGGGAGGTAAGAAACAGCTTGTAAATGGAAAAAGGTATCTGTCACTAGGTCAGTATTTTGTATTTAGCCTTTAATTTTTCCAGGGATTTTAGACATAGACATGATGTGAAATAATTGCCATCTATGTCTACCATTGCAAACAGTTATTTATAGACACTTGGATTGAGCAACCAATCTGAATTACAAAGCTTTAAACTATTTGCATTGTTTGAAATTGCTGTATTTATTTTCTTATATACTGTCTCTGGATCACGCCTCCCCTTAAGAGTCTATTGCTGATAAAGCTTTGCTTTGTTGGCTTGAACCCTGAGTGATATCCCTTCTGCAGCTGAGTACTGTCAACTGCTTATGAAATTAGGGACATTTGGAGGATATGGAATCTCTTAAGGAAGCCATAGCGCTCCTCCTCATTGAAAACCAGCTCTTTGAAAAACAGCTTTGTTACGGGAATTGGTTTTGCTTTTGGAGTTTTTATAAAAGTTCTCAACTGTTGCAGTATTGCTTGTGCTGCTTGTGTTTGGGCTTGCCTTAAAGCAAATACTGTCTGGACAGCTGAATAGCTTTTTAAGCTCCACTGATAGTCATAAGACCTTGGATGTTATGTAGTTTTCAAAATGTAGGTGTCTTAATCTGGAGTTGAATCCGATCTACAGTGTCTTTGGAGGTAGTTATGAATTGCCTTAAAGACTTAATCAGTCTTTCTGGAGACACATATAGCAAATGGCTTTAGCAAAGTGAACGGTCAGGGAGGGGAGGGATGGAGGAACTGTGGCATAGCATATTCTGGAAGAGAACTTGCTAGTTTACAGATTTTTAGGCTAAAGATATTGATAGTAGTCATCCTTCTGGCCCCTGGTCTGCAAAAATTGAACTGTATAAAACATTGGATACACATACAAAACTTAATGTTAACCCCTATCAGAGGAATTGATCTTGAACAATTTCCCATAAATGCAAATTCACATTCAGGAAAGTAATAAAGTGTTCGAGTATAACTTTTGTTGCGTTGAGCTAATTTTATCACAAACTGGACTGCATAAGGTATCTTCGATTTTGATCTGGTACAAGAACACTTAGTGAGATTGAATCAGTCAAGTAAATTATTGACCTTGCAATTGTTTTTCTCAGTCCTGGAGTTTGAATGTTCTCAGTGGATATGTCTTAATATTTTTTAAATTTGTGTTGAGAAATGATAGTTGCAAACAAGCTGTTACAAAGTTTCGTAGTTTACAATGCAGGCAATAATAGGAACCCTTGCTAGATTTCAAAGTAATTGTGTGTTGCTTTAATACTGATTTCTGGAATTAAAAAAAGCAGCTAAAATGAGACCGCAGCAGTTGGCCCCATATGCCAATATCTGAAACGACTCCAGAATCTTAACTGTTAGAAAATGCAGTTTGTAAAAGGATGGTGGTGTGTGGGAGTAGTTGGGTATATGGACCTTCAACTAGGAGAACCACCTTTTCCACAAGAATCCCATTTGTTTCTTTAGTGAAGTTAATCTGCAGAAAAAGAAAGGCTTCTAAAAGCTGGCATCTCCAGTCAATTTTAATAATTTTGAGCTGTCATGCTAGAGTATCATTCTGAATAAGATGAGTTTTGTGTGTCAGTGTATGCTTGCTGTGTCTGAGGAGAGAAATAGAGACTTGAACATATTTCCATTTTGTGTCAGAGAGAAGCCACAGATAGGAAAATGACAGCAAGTGACTGAAAACTGAGGGAAATGCCATCTGCTGATTCAGAATGACTGGCACAACTGTGCTGAATGATCTTTATTGTGGTTTACAGGAATCGCTTCAAGTCGCAGTGTTATATAGAGGAGTTGGAGCTATTTCCTTTCTAACAGTGCACAAGGCCTTTAAACAATCTTCTGTAAATTAGAAGCTTTAACTGAAAAGTAATAAAGTATTTTGTTTTGTGCAAAAACCATAATAAAGTAATATAAAAACATAATAAAGTAATATATTAAAAAAGTAATAAAGTATTGTGTTTTGCCATATATTCCATATCTGCTGACTCTTCCACAACATCATTTGGCTCTTTTCTTTCATTTTAACCAACAGGATTGCTTTTACAGTCTTGGTCTGTGAAGCTGTTTACGCTTTCATATTGTAAGGGCTGGGTGTGCTGATGAACATTCTTTCAAAAGTCAGCTGATTAAATCCATGCTGGAATAGTTTAAGTAAGGGAGATGTTTTCTCTTTGCTTGGAAAGAAACTGAGATGATTTTGGTATATTTATTGAAACTTTACCTTTATTGATAAAATTCTGTTTTATTAAACCAACAATATATCAACACACACAAAAAAATCACATTTATTAAGTGATTCTTGTTTTAAGCTGTTGTAGAAGTGCACTTGAATTTGAAAATGTAAAACAGTTGGAAAAGACTTAGAATTACTTGTAAAGTAAGTATCAGAAACAATAAAAAGCTACAACATTGTGTAACAGAATGGGAAAGTTACGGTGAAATTGCAATTTTAGTTTATTCCTTATCTGCAGTGGTGCTAAGTGAATGTTGCAGGAGGTGACGAGCTAGGGAGGCTGGGTTTTGAAAAGAGCTCTTCCAGGCAGAGGCTGATATTTATAGACTTGACCAAAAGGAAAAAAGCCAATGATAAGATATAATTAAATTGCACGTATTTTTCCTTTTTTGTTTTTCTAAAAATCTGTGAGCTGCCCAATACTTCTGACACGTTGTGTACCTGTTAGTGTATGCCTGTGTTCCGAGACAAAGTAACGGAAAAATGACAGTTCCAGTTGCCAAACAGTGGTGTGTTCTTCGGTTTGGAAAAAAAAGCATAGCGTCCACTGATGGCTCTTCTTATAGGCATCTAACTTAGATTATAATGAGAGAAGTGGGAGATGCATAACATGTCTTGAAAGAGAAGCAGAATTGCCTGTCATCAGAAAATACTGAAGAAGTCAGTAACCTTGCTTCATTGCAAGCTGTCTTGAAATGTAAAACAGGAGTAGGTGTTTAAAAATTTTTCTCCAAGAACGGAAACCAAAGAATTTACACAGCATCTTGGAACACACGGAAGTTTATTGACATGGTCAATTTTTAGAGGTGATCACAAGATTTCTGAAAGGTTAAGATTTTCTTTAATACCCTGAAAAAAGATTAAATATAAATTATGCTTTCCCTTATGGTTCCAAATAAAGCAAATGCTTCTAACGTCTATATAGTTACTTTTCCCAAATCATCAGATAGTAAAAATAAAGCTCTCTTGCCTTTATATCTAAATGCAAAATCTAGAGAATCATTTCAGGCTTGCCAAACTGAAAAGAAAGCATAAAATGTTTTAAGTGTTTTGGTTTCTGAGCCCAAGACCTTCAGAGAAGGGCTTGCAGGCCAAAAGCTATTTTTTTTCCATTTGTACCATTCCACTGAAGAGATTGCAGAACACCAACACCACTCCCCCCAGCACAACCCCTACCTCTGCTCATATCCTTTGTGTTATCTCTGTCCTTAGATGATGATTACTACTTTGTATACCTTTAAAATGTGTAGTGTTTTAGTGCATGTACACTTCAGTGGTAACAGTTGTCCATTTGCTTAATGCCATTTTTGTCTCATAGGTGTATTACCCAAACTTGGGATGGATGTGTGTTGATGCAACTGATCCAAAGAAAGGGAACTGGCTACGATATATAAACTGGGCACGTTCAGGAAAGGAGCAAAATCTGTTTCCTCTGGAGATCAACAGGACCATATACTACAAAAGTTTAAAGGTATCACTGTCTGAAGAACAGTTACTGCTCTGTTACCTTTTATTATTATAACTTTTATTGCCCTTTATTCAAATTCTATTTTTTTTACTATTTGTATTAAACAGATTTTGAAACATTTTATGAAATATAATTAAAATATTGCAAATGCTACATTTCACTGGTCTAAATTCTTCTGTGCCAATGCAGTTGACATTAAAATCTACTGTTAAAATATAAGATATATATGAACACTAGGTCTATCTTGTGGGTTAATGATTTGCTGTAGCACCAGATTTGATACAAACTAGAATGAAAAACTATAGCAGATTACATAAAATAAATGTTTTTCTATTTCTGTAGATACAAGACATTTTTCTAAATTCTTCTGTGCCAATGCAGTTGACATTAAAATCTACTGTTAAAATATAAGATATATATGAACACTAGGTCTATCTTGTGGGTTAATGATTTGCTGTAGCACCAGATTTGATACAAACTAGAATGAAAAACTATAGCAGATTACATAAAATAAATGTTTTTCTATTTCTGTAGATACTAAGACATTTTTCTACTGAGGATTTTTTGCAGAAATCAGTTATTTTTATGGTCTTTGCATTGTATAACAAAGGAAGCTTCATGAAACACATTTCCCTGGTTTTATACCCTTCCAGTTTTATTCAGGGAGTGGGGGGGCAGGAAAACGGTGTCATTTCTGGGGCATTGTATCTCCCAAGCCAAGAAAAAAAGTGGTTTAACTATAAGTAATGGTAGAGTATGTTAGTGTTAGAAAATTGTTGCTATAAAGTATTATTTGAATCTCCAATCAAGAACCTACTAGCAGTGAGTGTATATATAGCTCAACTTTGTCTTTATTTAAAATGCTTTTTGGTTTTGGGGTATGTGCAGCCTTGCTGTTACGCTATTGCTGTTTCTTACATTTCCTTGTAAGGCTGACAACATCTATAAGTAACCGATCTTCACTTAATAAAAGAATGAGTTGATACCATGCAGTTTTGCAGTTTATAGGGCAGTATAGCAGTATGTAAAACTGTTATATTTTAGGCCACCCAAACTAGATTGGGGGAAAAAAAAACCCAAACCCTTCTAAACATTTTCTGAACTTTCTAACAGCTTTGAGAGAGCATTCAAGTAGAGGTTCACTATCGCCAGCCAGACTATTGACTTCTCTTCAGTGTTTATTCACTGAGGGCAGGCTCCCAATGTGAATCTGTAGCCAGCTTAGTTTTCTCTAGACACTTTATCTTGGGTTGCCTCTGCCTTTGCCCATAGTCACGCTAGTTCATTAATGTAAGTGTGCTTTTGGAGTCACTCTGACATTTTAAATTTCTTTCTCATTGAATCTTTTCTGCAAAGATTTCAGTCCTGATACAAACAGGCATTCACATATTTCTAATTTGTTTTCTGATGGATAATATTACACTTTGGAAAATGATTGTACCGCTAAAAGAGGCTGAGCACTGCTGACAGAATAACAAATACCATGCCTCAGCACCTGAAATATCCTTTTGTTCCTCTGACTGTCTTCTCTTGCGACCTGATGAATTTTATCCTAGTAGGTCTTGCCAACAAGATCATGCTGCCAAGCAGCTCTTTCTGAAGACTATTAGAGCAGCCTATAAGGATCGGTCTTACCGGTTTCAAAATCTGTCTGGGGTTTGTTGCAGTGTGAGATACTGAGTTTGGGATGCGAGGTTCTTCAAAGAGCCATCTTCAGCAGGGTTTATTTGCCCCTGCAGCAACCACTTAGATATGTGTGTGCTGCAGAGTTGTTTATTAGCTTCAGTTCAGTGTTAGTAGCACCAGTCCCAGGCAAGCTTCTGGAAATTCATGTTGGCGTCTGCACTGTATGCTAGTTGGAGGGAGTGTTACATCAGAAATGGCATTACCTCCAGGTCTTCAAAGAGCCATCTTCAGCAGGGTTTATTTGCCCCTGCAGCAACCACTTAGATATGTGTGTGCTGCAGAGTTGTTTATTAGCTTCAGTTCAGTGTTAGTAGCACCAGTCCCAGGCAAGCTTCTGGAAATTCATGTTGGCGTCTGCACTGTATGCTAGTTGGAGGGAGTGTTACATCAGAAATGGCATTCCCTCCAGGCTGCCTCTGCACAGAGGCTTGCTGCTGCTACCTCTCGGAGGCCAGCACAGAAGCAGCAGCTCTGAGTAGTTTTGGGCCTCGATGTTGCGCAAAGTGGGGCGCCGGGACCTGAGCTGGTGAAGAAGCACCGAGTTGTTTCTGCCCTGTAGACTTAGTTCCAGGAATGCAGTGCGGACGTGCTCAAACTAGTTCTGCACGAGCTAGGTTGGGACGGCTTGTATTAGTAAACCCAGCTTCACGCTGCTCAGAAGAAACCAAACTCTTTCCAGGACCAAGTTAGTCCAAGCAGCATTGCAACCATGGTTCAGCGGTGCCTTCCTGCTGTTCCTTCGTTGCCGCTGCATCTGTGACACAGGTAACATGGCAGGTAATTTAAGAGATGTCTGAGTTGCTTCACTATGCAAAACTGGGTTATAATGTAAAGTTTAACTTTGCCCCATATTGGGGAAGAAAGCTCACAAATCTGTAATAATGTTTGTTAAAAGCGCATACTGATATTCCAATTATTTTTGAACCATCTATTTCAATATATTTTATTCTCTTCTCCCACCTTTTAGAGAAGTGATATGTAAGGATATATAAAGAAAATTCTGATCTTGCTAATCTGTGATGATTTTTGAAGTGAAAGCTTGGCATGAAATTGGGCAGTTTTCACTACCGTTAAATATTCAGCATTCAGTTAGCATACTGATAAATCAGGTCAAGATTTAGAAAGTCACATTGTGGTTCTTTTAATTGCACAAGTGGACTATTCTTGTAGTTTAATAGGAATATTTTAAATCCAATATTCTGTTCAATTTCTTGTCCATTCCAAGAATATGAAAACCAAAGGAAGGCATTAAGAAAGCTTGTTTTCTCTAGTGTTTTCTTAGCTTGTTTTTCATTATTTAAAGTGACAAATTTATAGGAACCAGGCTTTTTAAATAAAGTTAGTGTGAAGAAATTGGAAGTTAAGCTGTAAGTGACTGACAGCATGGGTAGGAGAAGTATAATGTAGAGGAGGAGATTTTGAATGTGTGGTCTCAAGGGCAAAGTTACTACATTAAAGCGTTTAAATGTTGTCTGTTGTATCAGTTTTTACTATCCTATACCCTAGAAACTGCAGGGAAAATTCATACCTTGGAAAAAAATTGTGCTGCTTTCTGCTTTCTTTACAAAATATGGTTGCTTATACGTCTGCTTTTTCTTTAAAGGTTTGTTTTTTGTCTCGCTTTCTGTATCAGAGATCATGTTGTTCTTATAGGGTCCATATCAGTCTTGGATTCACATCACACCTTACTGACAACTGAGACAAAAGAAAGCATGTAATGAATAACATCTTAAAAGTCCTTATCTTTCTGCATATAATGTGTTATGGTTTATACACTGCCATTTCAAAACTGTTGTAAATTTACCAGCCCAGGTATGTACACATGGTTCCTTCCTGATCTTTATCATAATTCATAAATTTAGGGGAATTCCATTTGGTGATAAATAAACAGCACAGTTTTTATTTACCCCCAAAAGAGAATTAGTGGCTTGTATGTCATTTTTTTCTGCTTTACCTTGAAGCATTTAAAATGTTGTCATAGCTATTAATTTTTTTCCCAAGGTTTTCTTCAGCTTCTTGTGGGTTTCTAATTTGTAAGTTAAACAGGGTGATTTCCAAGCTTCTTCGCTAAGATAAGCAAAGTCCAAATTTGCTTGGTGTAAAAGAACCTCAAAACTGCACAGAGCTTTAACTTCCCTGTTCTCTGCTGTAAATGAATAGTAATAGGATAGAACTTTTAAGTGAGCACAAGCAAATGTTTTTCTCTTCCATCTTCTCTTCATCTTTACTGAAGGACTGAGGATATTTGTAGGCTGCTTTGCATATGCTTTCCCCAGGATGCATATACGAGAGTTGTAATATTTCGATGAAACAGCTTAAACTCATTATGGGGTTTCAGAAGTTCTTCCTGCCTCTCCGAATGAAATGAGCTGGTTGAATAGTGTTGTTCTGCACATAGTACAGGACTTTGTAATTCTTGAAGAAGTAAAAAATTGCGGTGAAAACTCAGTTTCAAAAAGTCTTCTAAATAAGCTTGGCTGTGAAACTGTCCTTGATTAAGGTGAAATTAATTTGTTTATGGAAGAATGTTTTGTCAAACAGGTTCATAATAATTCAAGAACCTCCCTGTTAAATAGGAGCGCAATGTAACATAGGGTTATACAGTGTGAAAAAGGCACACAAGTACTAATGCCGCAAACCGTACACTGTGGTTACATTTGGGGAGATAAGGCCACATCCAGGTGCAAAAGCACAGTATCACAGTAAAATGCAGTGTCTGTGGTGAAAAATATATACTCTAATAAGGTCAGGCAGGCAAATGCCAATCTCAGTCTGTGCAAGACACATTGCAGTGCTTGTACGTGTGCGATGAATTGAATTTTAGACGATCTGTGCTAGAACCTCTTAGGATATAACTTGTTAGGATATTACTCTTGAAAATAACAAATTTTGAAATTACTTTAAACCTTTTGAACAGAAAATACTCGGATTAAGGAATGCTAAATGTTGCAGTTAAAACATAAAGCACCAAGAAGCATGTGGGATCTATTAACCTAATGAGCCTTTCTGAAATTCATACCTTTTTTAACCAAGCTATCCCAACCTGACACTACTACACAGACAATCTGTAGGTAATTGTTTGGAGGAGGTTGATTTTTAGAGTTGTTAGAGGGTGTCATCAGTAAGAGACGGCTGTGCGTTCTCTGGTGTCAAAGTAGCGGTGGAAGCGGCTCGTGGTCAGTGTAGTCCTTTTCTCGTTCGTATTGCTAGTGAGGGAGCCATTTTAATTGTCTGGTTTTGAAGCTGCTGCTGCATCTCATTTTAGAAGTACAAGGTTAGAGGACTTAATTCAGATTCTAGAGTAGTTACACCAAAACTAAATTCATCAAGTCGAATGTTGGTTCCAGCCATGCAGGTAAGAAATCACATGCTCGTTACCATCCTGTGTTTGCGTTGCCTAGAATTTTTGCCAGCTCTTTTCTCTGAGTTTGTATATTGTTTAGATGATAACTTGTTTGCTTCAGACAACTCTTCTTCATTTTTTGCTGCTAAACAGCTGCAAAATGGGACCAGGCAAATAGGTTTACCACTATTTGTCCTATCGGGCCTCCAGAACTGCTAAGCCAAACCGTAGGCTTTGCTTATATTATACCTTAAACACTTAACATAGTTGTTGGGGTCTTGCATCTCTTGTTGTTCCAGTGTGGGGGGGTATAAACATAACTATCATCTTTATCAAGTGCTGTGAGACTGTCTAAAAAAAAAAAAAAAAGTGCTTTAGAAGAAACAATATTACTATTGTTCTGGATACAAAAGTTCCTTTTGGCTTCAGGCTTGAAATAATAGTCTGAGGATACCCTTTGCTCTAACGTAATGACTATAAAAATAGTATCTTATCTCCACAAGCCCGGTGTTCATTAAGCCCTGGAAAGAGGGGGATTGTAGTTCAGGTAAAGGAAGGCATTTAAGTTGATTTTTCTTGGTTTTGGATAGAATGCTTCAGGAAATGGAGAGATAATGATGAAGATTTAAAAAATAGGTACAAATACATCTCTAGTCTGCAAACTTGGGGACTTACTAGTTTGAGCCTGATAATATTTTAAGGAGCACGTGAGATAATCGGAGAAACTAGTATTGATCAGTTTGGTGACAGTGCTGGGAATATGAGTAGGAATTGCAGTGATGCTGCAATTAGCCCAGTGATTAGCTACTGGGCTAATTTGGTCTTTCCTGTGCGTTTTTTTGATTGGATCAAAAAAAATTAGAAATAATAAATTTGGAATGGCAAACAAATCTTTCGTTATTGTGATGCAGTGTATCTGTTAAACATGTAGCAACTATCTGTTTTCCTCTGTAACCCCTTTAACTCAGTGCCACGGTCTTTTCCTGTGTCTTTAGATTTTTGTTCCAAATTCCAACTTTAGTGGATGGCTGAACAGTTTTGCTCATTATTTAATGCTTTGTGTAAGGTAGGTGTGCTTAGCTCGAGTAATGCCGATAGCTCCCTGAAAAGAATTAAACTGCAAATAGCAATAGCAATAAACGCCGGGGGTTTCATTGCTGTGAGTTCAGCCTGCGTGGATTTAAATCAGCGTCACGGTGTGAGACGAGTCAAAATTCGGGGTGTTCCAGCTTG